CTCCACCAGAAACGGCGATATTTTCTCCGTGACTCATGAGTCGGTGTCTCGCATACAAGTGCTGTTAACTAATTGCTTCATAAAAACGGGGGAAAAGCGCCTAGCAAGTGGTCGGACCCCGGGCGAACTCCTAGCTTTCTTCGCCCATAGATTGCCGCTGTTCTCACGAACTGAGTGAGTTATTAGCTGGAAATAGACGGCTTAATAGCCATAAAACGTGGTTGTAAGTCAATAAGCTGGACGCGTGAGCATGGACGGGTTTTATGGGTGACGTTTTTGTAGACAGTTGATTGGTGGATACAAAATTGCAAGATGCAACGTCATTAGCGGTGGAAATAAATTGAACAGGTACAATGGGAATTTGAATTCTTCTAAAAATAATTTTCACTTGAAGGGTGGGAGTTATTCCGAGGCAAAATATTTGCTTTTGACACGGAAAATCGTGTGGTTCGTTAAGGTTCAAAACATGTTCAACAGATATTGGACATCAGGAATTTTAATAGTCCTGGAAAAAGTTTACAGTCTTTTCCATTACAATGCCACAAAACCATCACACCCTACTATATAGTTCTTCATAATATGCTAAAAATACACCTAATTTGATTAAATGATTTAAACAATTCTATTGTATAAAAAATAGGATACAAATATTTGGGAGATTCCTTGAAGAAAGAAAACATTTCATCCTCTTATAGAAGAATGTTCTTCTATTGCGGAAGAAATATTTCACAAATGACATTTTCCCTCTGAAGACACCCTTAAGAGAAACCCTATTAAATTTGTAGCACTGACATCTGCTCCTTTTAGATTCTCTCAAGAAGAAAGAACTGGACGAAACCACTTTTGGAAGAACGTAATACTAAAAGTAAACACGGATTTTTTGAGTAACACAAAAATCCTATCGTGTGAGCTCAAAAATGTTTTTCATTGCTTCAATCGCAAAATAACGTACGCCGAATACCTTGGTATAGACCAGTAGGAGAAGATGTCAAAAGCGCAGCAACGGAACCGGCAGAAGTTCGTGAGAGGGAGGATCGGTCTACCGTTCCGCATACATTATTCATCCTACATTGTTCTGGTGAAGTTTTTGATAAACCGCCACTACTTGGTGCAACTTTCCCGCATTACGTGCCTTCTGCCCAGTGTTACCCGGTTACCGGTTAATTGCCTGTTGACCTACGTAAGCTGCTGCTGAGTCAAGGTCACCACCTCACCACCCGGCAGGCGGTGTAAATTAACGATTGTTTCTGCACTGCAAACCAGATTTCACGTGTAATGCTGTAGAAAGTGTGCTTAATGTCACGATTCAATTGGACTGTATGTTGATTTCGAGCTTTCATTTCCTCCACACGATAAGCTATCTGCGATCTGCGGAATATAGTTTAATTGAACTAAATTACGTCGGGAGGTTTATCTGAAAATTTCAGAAGCTTTTTAGTGTAGTAGTGTAGCAGTAATGGATAATTGGTTACCAAAAAGTGTTACCGTACGTTTTAATTGTTACAAACTTATTCTACTTGTTGGCTGATTTTACAAGCCACAAAATAACAGAGGCTTGTCTTCAAAAAACACCTCCGAAAAATTTTATCAATAAACATGAAGTGACCATTCAACTATAACTAGTTATTTTACTAAGATAGTATTCAAAGCTACATAGATAATAATAAAGAGAACAATTCGGTAAACAATAGATGCATTATGAAGAAATGTTTAATTGAACTGTATTGACAATTGGTCAACTATCACTTAGTTTCGTATCTTAATAAGACGTTTCCAAAAACTCTAGATCACTCACGTTGGAACAAAATAAAAATTCATTTAACATCATTATTTAAAAAAAATCTCTTTTAGAATGCCGGTATTTCGTTTTTTATTAGTTTTAGTCGTCTTTTATTAGTTTAACAAACAACAGTCACAGTTTTAGGATTTGGACCAATTCATCAATCAGAAACTGTATCCTTTTCTCACTAGTTTCGATCCAAATCGAGGAAGCAAACGTTTTGCAACTCAGTGCTCCGCACACTTTTGAAAGGCAAGCGACAAAACCGCAACAATTGTTGACAAACACAGTTCGCCATTTGCAGTCAACAGCGACAGCGAGCCATCTGCTTGCGGCGGAGAAGATAACGAAAACGCTGAAGGGAAAAGTGGGTTTGTGGTATCCCACTGACTAGTAATTGGCAATTAGATTAACATCATCCAGTAGTATTGAATGGCTGGATCTAGGCCGAAGGAACTCCATGTCTGTCTTAGAAGGTTAGGTTTCACCTCGACAGTTTCCCCGTTTATCGTGAGTTACGTGAGAACAATTAAAGTAAATGTTAGCCTGGTCACAGGGTAGAGTTCAAACTGATAGGGAATTGTACTGCACTATAGAGTTGTTTCTTTTCTAAACTAAACGTTCTTTATAGGTAAAAAAATAACTCACTAAACCAAGACTAAAAATATTGAAAAACGTTTGTAAAACTTCTGCAGTTTATAAGGGTAGTAGGTCAGACATTCTCATGGTCAATTTGGTTCTTGTTCACATATTCTATTGCTTTATGTTCCTAAATATTATGATTGATTGATTATGTAAGTCATTTAGGTATGTGCTCAGTTACAGTGGTATAGGCTGTAAATATTAAATGTTATTAAAATATTATATTTGTTTGGCATTTGGGTATTTTATTCTTTGTTTTCTTTTAGAATGTCTATGGAAAACAAACATCAATCTACTGCGAAACAGTTGATTAAGTTACTTCATAAATAAACGCAAAACCTCGTAACACTCATTACCTTGGTCAAAGTCCTCCCTCCAAATGGACTATTCACTTCAGACGGAATGAATTGATTAGATAGCTCTCCTTGCCTTTTTGCACCCTTAAAGAGACCAATTATTAAAATTAATTCAAGAATGCCTTTCGAGTCTAGTCCGCATTTACATTTACAAGTCGGTAGCGTTTTTGCGCACTGCCAGTCGCTCCAATCAGAAGGGGCTTTCTCCTCAATATTCATGGTGTGCTCTCGCGCGCGTTAAAGACTTCAGTAAGAGTAATTTCAAGGGAATTGAAGAGGAGCGAACGCGTGACTCGCCGACAAACCGAATGTTGTCTCGAGTTTTCGACTTGTATGGAAGTCTTGACGAGTGTTTTTGCACCTGACAAATGAGTCCGACTACAGAAGTCAATTTACGGGATTGATTCTTGGAATGTTTTATTGAAATGCCTTCCGATGGATTGATGCCTCCGTGAATGATTCCCTTGGGAAAACTTGGTTTGTCGAAGATCCGGAGATTGTGAGAATGGCCATAAGGTGTTAGTGAGCATAAACTCATGTAATTTCAATATTCATAATTATTTAATAATAGGATTACTCATGTCCTATGACTACAGAGTTAATCAAGAAACTATTATGAGTTCATTTTTTCAAGTTCAATATATTTTCTTCCTGTAGATGTTTGCAGTCGTTGCTCAAACTTGTCCATCCCAAACTAACTGATTTACTGAGATAAAATACTGCTGAAAATATATACTTTCATTCTCTACATTGGGATTTCTGGATGTGGCAATTAAATTCGCGAATCCACTTTCCATACTCATAAATTCTATTTTGATCCCAATTTGGATGCCAATTTGCTTGGCGGATTCTTTGGAATTGGACAGCTGATCGAAAATAATTGATAACCAAATAAACTGTCTTCGATCCAGGTTTTATGAGGGCGGCATTTCACCAAGACCCATTTGTTTGTCAAGAAAGTGGCGTTCAATTAAATTAAACGGATTCATCTTAACAGATGGATTGAGTTCTGATTTTAGCGGCGGTCGAAACGTATTTTGGCCTTCATCGAGGTCACCCAACTGGATAGTCTAGTTCTTCACCGCAAAAAGGCGTCAACCTTTCTCAAACGTGCCATTCAAACTAATTTTAATATCCGCCATATTGCTACTCTGGTCTCTGGACACCACATTCCACTTTACCTACTTTGAAACAGATTGTTGGGTAGTATAATTTTATCGGGGAAGTGTGAAGTCGGAAATATCAATTTGGATAGATTTCTTACACAGACGTCGGTTTCTCAGCTTATGCAATTTGAAACACAAAAGCTACTATTTATCTCGTACTCGTACGAGTATATTTCCTTTTGGCACCTTCTGTGGCTGACTCCTTGCTTTCAGCTGCATTACCTCGCAAATACCAAACAGTATGCAGAACATTTAGACTGAGCCCTGCACCCTTGTAACACTACAATATTTCACCAAGAACTTTCTCGCATACGCCAATTCCCTAATGAGTATTGTCCAGTAATGTATATGACTGGCCGAGTATCAGATCGCCCTCGAGCAATCAGCTGAAACATATCCCAGATCGTATCCCGCCCCAGAGCACAATTATACAAGATCACCCGACTGCTCGTGGTAGCGGGCAGTGGTCAGTGGAACGGTCGGCCTCTTTCAACGCCCTACACTTAACGTATTTAAATTAGCTCTGCTCAAGTGCGCTATTTGTTTTCTGCTCTTTATCTCCTCTTTCATTCTCTCGACCTTAGTTTATGCGCTGGGTGGTTGGAGACCTCCTGGTATGTCTAGACGAGGAACGTTTGGTGTGTTGAGTTTTACAGTAGTTGTATATTTGCTTTATTTACTAATAGCACGTGATGCTATTTAAAAACTGAAAATAATGATGAAGATGATTGTTATACTTGTAATTACGAAGCTGTAACTGGCCTTTACAAGGATGCTAAGAGGATGGAAAGCATTGGCTTTCTCAATTCTTAATGGCTCAAAGACCGTTTTGCATCTGAAATTTAGTATAGTTGTTTTTTTATGATATCTCTCTGCGTAACTTAAGGTCATGCCATAAAGTTATAATAATTACTTCCAAGTGCTCCAAAAGATCTTCATATTGCGGCGCAAGTTAGTGTTGTTCATTAAATTCAGTAATGCACTACATAGAGTTTGTTGTTATAATTTGCCGTTATGCTGTTGCCATTGACTGACCGTGTTGTTGTTGTATTGCAGGTTGCGTGCGGAGTGTCCCCCCGCGGGTGGCCGCTATCCCTCGGTGTACGTGGCGTAGTCCTACACCTCGGCGAGCTGGACGCCTCCCTACTGCGGTCCCGGGACTGCTACCTCTGTGTCAGAGTACCTAACCACCAACCGCCTCAGGTGAGTCCACCAGCCACATACTGGTGAAGTTGATCTATTTTTCCATTATATTTCCATTATTGCATAATTTTTACCAATATTCATTTACCTAAGTACGAGAATAACATCCACCACTTGTCAAAAAGCGTCTTCAAAATTCTGCTTGACCACAAAGCATCACGATATGTGGCCTTTTCTAAAATGAAGGTTGAATGGAGCCTTAGGGTTTCATCTAGTCCCTCTACATTTCCACCACACCCGATGTTATTCTAACCTTTCGCTCACTAGCCATCCATCCAAAGACCATCCTTTGTTTTAATAATACTATTGTATTTTACGATGTGTATTTACATTCGGTGCTTTAACAACTGTATGGGTAGGAGTTAGACTGAACTTATTTGCTTAGCTTATGTGCTTAATTGCTTATGTGTCTCGACCTCTACCTCCACCTCCACCTTCCTTTACTTCTACCTCCATCTCCATCCCTATTTCTAACTCTACCTGCACCTCTACCTCTATTTCTACCACCACCTCCACCTCTACCTCCATCTTCATCCCTATTTCTATACCTCCACCTCCACCTCACATCTACTTAAACCACTACCTTCATTTCTACCTTCCGTTACCTCTACCTCCATCTCCATTCCTGTCTCTACCTCCACCTCCACTTCCACATCTAGCTACTCCATCTTCACTTGCCCCGACTTCAACCCTTCTATTCATCCAACCTAACCGTTGTCCTGTGTCACAGGTTGCGTTGGTCTGGTCCGGAGGGAGCGTCTCTCCCTCACCTCCTCCCTCGGCCCTCGCCATGATGACGGCCACGGAGGAGCTCCCCGAGCTGCTGCAGCACCTGGTAGTGTCTGTGGAGCGAGCCATCGAGCGTGTGCCTCTGGACGATCTACCGTTCCCTTGTCCCCAGTGCCATGAGTGTCTCAGTGATCAAGACAGCGTGTCCCACTGCCAGTGTCCCGTGGTCGCTGAGAAACGCGACAGCTGTATCCAGACCAGTCCGATGTACGAGCTGGACAACAGCATCCCCCATATAGACAGTGACGAAGAGCATGAAGATCCAGAGAGGCGGCTTAGCACAGGTGAGTGGGGTTCTACTGTGTCTTGTGTGTGTTTTGAAGCAGTGTTATAACTTTCCTGGTCAATGAATGGCCTAAAACGTACTCGTTACTACCAAATGTCAAGATATGTTAGATGCCATCATTTATTGATTCCTTTGACAAACTGGAGTGTTACGAAGATTTCGTACTGGGGGTTCCACAGCTGACTACAATGGTAATGAAAACTGGCTTAAGTGCCAATCACACATCCTAAACTTTCCCCAAATTATAAATGGCTTATGTCAAAACGAAAATTGCCACTTTGTTTACCACTTTATGCTTGGTAATAGCTAGAACAACTGGCAACAGTATAATAGCTTGTTTTGCTATAACCATTTTGTAAGAGCTATTTGAAACCTATCATTTATTCACGATTCTACCCAAGTGGCCTTAATCAAATTTCAAACCTTAACACCTTTAAGCCTTAAAGGTGTTGGTCAGTAGGATATCTTACATGTTATCTCACGCTGAATTCTTATTCAGATTAAATTTCACAAGCAAATTTACGTCTCTTTTCTTTGATTTTGAACTTGAACTCTTGTTGTTGCGTAAATCTGTATCTCCGTAGCCTGATAATAATATAGCTGAGGTAAAATAGTTCATTTTTTATAACTCTCACAAGTTGTACGTTTCCCACTAAAACAGCACTAAAATCATAGTTGTGTATCTTCTACTTTGTTTACTCAGTCCTCAGTTTCCCACACATAACCTGGGTAGTCATTTCCTTGAGCTATTCAGTCACTCAGTGCAGTCCGCGACATTCCTGCGTGTGTTCTCCAGGCGTGGCGACTCGCGTGTTCGCCGCTTCGCTCGACAAGACCCAGATAAGAGTTATCACCGCAATCTGCGACATGCGCCTCTGTCTGCCTTATCACTACTGATAACAGGACTTAGTCGCTCGTGTCGCACTGTGAGCAAACCAATGAGGCGTTCGCGGCTGTAGCGCTGCAGGTGATGTTTATACAGAGCTTGTAACGACCTGTACGCGTTGTACATAGAGTAGTAAAATAATGTACTCTCTGTTGTCTTTGCTTGAACAAATAACTTTGTGGAGTTTGGTGAAATTATTTAATTGTGAATAGACTCGTAAGGATTTTTTTGGTTGTTCATGCACGTTTTAATTAAATTGTTTTGCTATGCATTTTGTAAAACCCGATATTGACTTGCTGGTACTATTTGTATCAGTTGGTGTGTTTTGAAATGTTAACTTAGGAGGGAAGATTTCAGTAGAGACATTCGGAGGGAATTTCACATGATTTCTCAATGTTGGTTTTTATTTATTAATCTTTGTTTTTGATTCACCTATACAATTAATGGTCTTCATTTTGTAAACAAAAACTTGAACTACACTTCAGTGAGGGGTTTGGGGAAGTATTAGCCTTAAATTATTGTTTTAACAGCACCATTTCTCAGTTAAGCTAATCAATGTTCTAAAAACAGGGTTTATAGGTCGCCAAACTATGGCGATCTCTATATTAATTTTCTCAGAAGTTTTGTTGTGTATTTTGTAAGGGGCTCCAAAATAAACTAGGAACTCAACAAACATCCACAAATTGTACTTCGCTTGGAAAAAAAACTTGTATTGAAAACTAAAACTGAACAAAATAATAGTAGACCTCGAAATTTGTCAATTAAATTAGTCTAGACAACTAATATTGCAAAACTCGCTGTATCAAACCCGTTGATTTATCAAAGCCAAATCCGTATAATTTCGGCTCGCTATCCAACTAATCTATTACCCATTCGTATTCGGCCCCACGAGATCTCATTGATTATAGTTTATTCCTTTCCATTTCGCTCGGCCTAATAACTACTTTTATACCTCTAATGAGCCAATAACACTAATAACCAGACAACAGATAACGACTTTGCGACCTGACCTACAGGATTGATTCGCAAACCACTTTCTATTTCAAGAGGAAGAAACAATATTCTTTATATCGCTTTCAACTGGGCTATTAAAGATGTTCAAATTTCCCCCAACTTAATAGTGATAATATCCTGTTAGCGATGGGACCTCGCACGCACATCCCTTCTTCCCTTAGTTCCCACAACGTTTACTTTCGTCGGTTATGAAAATCGAAATCGTTGATAAATTGTGATAATTATGGGGGTAAATAGTGTAATTACCGTAGGAAATCGCTCAATTCAAAAGCTCTCATTGATTGAATTAAAATGTAAATATGTGATACTGTATCAATGATGTAAAATCGTAACTTGACTACTCTACCAATTTCTTCTAATCATTTTCCAATAACCGGTTATTCAGTTTTTTTGTAATTTTCCAATAAAAACCAATAAAATAACGGGAAAATAGAATTTTCTCACAAATAGCCCGAACGATTTTGATAAGATTTTAGTATGTAATAGTCCTTTAAATTTTAAACAAAGTAGTACAAATCCGATTTCCGTAATAATTACGGTTCCAAAGTTATTGTAACTTATGTTATTTTCCCATGAAAACCCAATAAAATAACGAAAACTTGGATTTTGGAAAAACCCGGTTTTGATTAAAATTACTGTAGTATGTTATGGCCCTTTAAATTTTGAACAAAATGGTACAAATCTCATTTCCATAAAAATTATGGTTCAAAAGTTATTGTAGCTTATGTTATTTTCTCATAAAATAAAATAAATCGGATTTTAGGAAAAAGCCGGTTTTGATTAAAATGTATGTGTAATGGTCCTTACAGTTCTAAAAATATAGTGAAACCCCCCATTTATGTTCAACAATTAGGATTCAAAGTTATTGCAACTTATGTGATTTTTTCCTATGAAATATCATATTTCCTCACATCACTTACCACTTACAACGGACAAGCTTGTGTCAGATTGCTGATACAGTTTATTTCAGATGATTTTAACTTGAGGTATATCACCAATTCCGGCAACTTCCAGCCAAGTCGTCCGGTCTGTTTGTTTTAGGCAAGCTTTACTCCTTGAGCTCTGTCCCAAATAAACGACGTACTCTAAAAAATATAAACTAATTTGCCGTCCGTCCGTAGTCTATGGTAAAAAAGCTGCAAGCCACGTGTTGACGTTACCCATGCCTACCATTACTATCAGCAAATACCAGTATAACGTCTGGTACCGTCCCGTCGATCGCAATGTCTGTTCCATTCTAGTGACTAACGGTGATATATGACCTAACATTGACTAATGCTAATCAAGTGGGCAAACGATGCGATACGCCCGAGGACTCGATGATTACTTCGGAATGTGCATCGAATCATCGCATCGCTGTCGGCGTCGCCGCCCACTGCTTGTTGGATAACACTGTTTACCGGTCTACTGCTTACACTTACACATGATCTGTCTGTGTCTCGTCAGTCGTTAACTGCTTCACGTATTCAGTCAGACGGTACGATTATTGATCGTGATCCGAGACAAGCTTGTCGGTATCCGTTGGGTCTTTTCAGGAATAAGGACACTTAAATAAACATTATATTAGTACTATTGATTGTTAGACCAATTCGGGGCAAAAGTGGGGTTCGGATTCCACTATAAACTGTAGGTCCCTTAGGGATTGGCTGTATTATTAATTAACTGTGTCTAAGGAATATGTCGGCGTTAGTCACTAACAAGACTACAAGGTCGCGCCACTAATCCTACACTCATCTCCATTCATACTTTGCATAAAATACCTACATTCGTATGGTCACCATTTCAAAGTAAAGTAAAGTATCAAAGTAACTAAACTAAACTAGCCTAATCTGACATAACTTTACCACCAGACAGTGGGGGCTTTCTTATTAAAAAGACTCTTTCCTTTTTAGGTCTGCCCCAATAAAACAAAAACAACATCGATATCGGCTCACAATTATCCCAATTAAAATGTTTAAGGCCCCTGGCTGGATATAATTACAAGTATTATGAAATAATTGACAAACGATTGTGTTACTAATTCAAAACAAAATCAATTGTAAGTCGAAAATTGAGAAGGCTTCAAAAGTTTAGGGGGTGTCGATATACCCTGTCCTTGCTTACACGGATTTATTAGGGGTGTAAATTTTACATACCAAGGAATACAATTGTTTACTTAGAATTTTATTTATTAAGAAAAATATCTATAGAATAAGCATTTCCAATGGTTGTCCATATGGACACTCATAGTAGTCTGTTTGATGATCCGTGGCAATCCTTATAAAGACCAATGACAACCCATATTCAATTCATTATTAATTATATAATTACTAATTAATTTTGCCATCTATTTCTGAAAAATGTTAGCAATTTCATTTCTTTTTGGCTCTATTCAAAGTAAACAAAATAATAAAATATGCTAAAACTAGTTTCATGATTCATCTTTATGGGTTACAAAATGTAATAGCAATTAATTCCCCTTATAGCAAATCATGAATTAATTTAATAAACGAGTTTAGAATGAAAAATCAATATTAGAGTGGTCTGCACATGTACAGGAGATGACTGTTCAATACCGTTCTACACCAGTGCCCTGCAGCTGTAGTGTGTAGCCAGGTGTCGAACCAGCTGTCTGTCTGTCTGGTATTGAACTTCATCTTTAACATTGACGCTGCATCTCCAACTATTACACCCAGTCATAATCACTACGAACAATGCCATAACACTCATCACAACCCGCTTTTCTCTGTCTAGCATTGAACTTCAACTTGAACATTCACGCTGCATCTCTAACAATTTTACACCCATTCATTGACTGGGACGGGTAATCGTCCTGTAGTCCAGCTACTAGGAGGTCACGAATTGTGGTTATTTATAGGCATGCACTGTGGATGCGATACTCCCTGGTGTGGATTAACGTCCGCACGAGTGAGTACTACGACTATCCGCAGTACTATCCTGATAGCATAGATAAAAGCTGATAGTTAGACCAATTCGTATATACCAAGGAAAATGTGGTTCGGATTCCACTATAAACTGTAGTTCCCTTAGTTGCCATTATGGGCTATTAATTAACAGCTGTGTCTAAGGAATGTCGGCCTTAGTCACTAACAAGACTA